ACATGACATCCTATATATTATAATATCCATATCCTAACATGACATCCTATATATTATAATATCCATCGAACTGAACCTCACCCATGTGAATCAAAGTAATATATATTATATATATCTGCCTGTTTAATATCTTATGGGTTAAGAGAACGCAGTAATTAACCGAGGCCTAGTTCATTTACGACAATCAGTATAAAATGAACTTCTCCTCTATGGGATCCTGTTCAATACATAAATGCACTAGTGTAACTAATCAGTCAAAACAAACTGTACAGTTGACACTACAACCATTCGGATGGGGTGTTCATGTCCATTTAGGTTGTGAACAACTATTCTTGTTCGCAAGTAACTGATAGAGTGATCTTCGGTTCGCTCGATGACGACCCACCTTATCTAAGTGCAAAACAACAAAACGTAGAACTTGTTTAATCTAACATGATTCTTATTCATATAGGGAAAATGTGTAATAACATGCAAAGACAAGCTTTCAGTATATAACACTAACAGATCTTAATTTGACTTCGTTCGAAAAAATGCTGAAATCTCGGTTCACGCTCAAACCGATGTTTCGAACTGAAACTCCCGAATCGTCCGGACTGCCTGGACTGATTCGGTTGAACTAGAATCTTCTTGAACCGTCCGGATTGGCCGGACCGATTTAGCTGGACTGGACCGACGGCTCACTCGGAACCGATCAGTTAATTGCTGGCTATGTGCAGCTCGGCTCAACCGTGGTTCTGGTCCGGCGTAGCAACTCACAGCACGCACGAACACGGCTGACACAACCTTGTCGACGCATGAGTTTTTAAACGGTGGCACGGTCACTGATGCAGGGGCATCCTTGGACCACGGCTAATGGAAATAGCGCGTTGACGGGCGGACGCACTGGCGTTGGGCAGAGCGCAGGGCGCGGCTCGATCAGACTCGGTGCACGGGCACGCACTCGGTGGCTCTGATCCAACGATGGGACAGGAGTGGAACACGTGTGCAGGACGATGATACGCGTTGAGAATACGTGCTAATGCACGCTGGTTGGTTGGTATCGCTACGAGGCACACGACCTCGTTAGTCTTCTTAGGCTCGGTTATGGTCTCGCCGCCGACCTACCACATCCCAACAATTCAAAGACTCATTTATAATCCGATGACATCTAAAGTCATTTATACGATACTAGGGTTCGGGCGATTATACTCGAATCTAAAAATTACACGGTGTTCGGAAATGGGAGAAACTAGGGTTTTAGTTCTTCGATTGACCTAACACATTTTAAGCCGAAACTTTAACCCTAAGTTAAACATGATTTATAAGGAATTTACATCCAATAACTTCAACTAAATCACATCCGGAACAATTTCTAAAAATACCGCAAATCAAGGCTAAAGTCCTAATTTTAAACTATACCAAACGATCTCCAAAAATCACGAGTTTTTAACCACAACAACTTCAACATATATATGATTTTTTGTAAAAATATCACAACAAGATTCAACCTATAACTCATCCAACTAAAATCGAGCATTATGGGCCTATATCCACAAATTTGGTTCGCATATCAAACAAACTCCAAAATTCACGAAATTTTAACCTAAGCCTCAAGACAATTTAGCAAGATTTATAAAATTAGAATCACCATTTTTGGATCAACGTGCAATTTAATATGAATTTGTAGATATGAAACTCAATAAATTTAGATCTATTCATATATCTCTCAAAACCATCATTTACCATTTTTAGAATACATTAAATTCATGTCACAGCCCATTGTGTAATGGTTTCAGCCAATATACCTCAAATAGGACTCGAAATGAAAATCGGAAGATGAACTAAGCTAGGGATGCTCTCGATTGTTTGGATCTAGTCGGATCGGGGCAGAGAGGGCTCGGATCTCTGGTGAGGATCTCGGTTCTGAGCCTTGCTTGACAGGAATGGCTCAGGTCTGACATCATGTGGGTCGGCTCATCACACGGGGGCTACTGGCTCGTCGGATCAGAACCGAGAGGGCTCGTACATACGCGAGCTAAGCTGCTGGAAACGCCGACGTATGGAAGGTTGCGCGAGGGCTGTGCGTACGACGTGTTGGTCTACACGGACAAAGGCACTACAAGCTGGGGCGTGTGAAGGACTCGGTCGCGTGAAGGTTGCAACGACGGCGTGGCTAGAGCTTGGGCGTGCGAGGCTCGATGGACAGCAGCTACCGGGAAGTGGTACGGACGCGAGCTGCTACGGCTTGCCGGGATTCGAACGACGGCGAGGGCTCGGGCTCATCACCATGCGAGTGATGGCGGCATGGAGGAGGGCATACGGCAGCTGCATGGTGGAGGCGGAGTCGAGGAGAGCTCGTCGGCGTAGGTCGACATGATGAGGGGCTGCGAGCTCGGTTCTTGCTCGGTTCTATAGTTGCTAGGGTCTAGAATGATATATTTGCTATGGTAGAATTCTAGATCTAGGGTTTGAGTTGGGAGATGAAGGTGAAGAATGAGGTGGTGTCCTAAGTGTAGGATATATATATACTAGTGAGAGGGAGTTAGGGTTTTGTGTAGAAATGGACTTGGGCTTTGACCGGTTATTTGTCTTGGGCTTAAAATAAAATGTTCGGGCCAATTAAAATGTAACGGGTCTTGGACTAAAAATGATTTCTCAGTCGAATTAAAAATAAATGATGGACTCGGATATGATTGGGCCGAATTAATAAATTTAACGGGCCGTGTTTAACGGGCTCGAAATATAAAATGATGGCTCGATTAAATGGGCCTACTCGATTGGGCCGAAATGAAATGGGCCAGATGGTAATAACTTTCTCGAAAAATAATTGGGTCAAGATTCAGCTCGTTCGGGCTTCGGCCCGACTTAAATAAAATTCAAATTTTTTCCAACCAAATTCGATATTTGGGCTAACTAAGTTCGATATTTGGGCTATAAAACCGATATTTGGGCTAACTAAATTCGATTTTAAAATTAAAAATCGAATAAGTTCTCCATGACTTAGACTAGAATTTAATACTTGATTTAACGCAAAAAATAATAAATAAATTCACCAAATAAGGAAACTTGCTATTTATGGAAATAAAGTCGAGCTCAACACTAAAAATATTCGGGAAGTTACAGTTAGGAAACCTTATATCTTCCAACTCGTTTCCCTTCTGGAAGTCCTAATCCCTTCCAACTTAATTACCCTTCTAGAAGACTTCATGTCTTGCTACCTTGGTAATATTCTAGAAGGTATTAGATCCTCCTACTTAGGAAATTCTAGAAGATAATTTAATTCCTTCTCCTTATTTGATTAATAATAAAATATCCCACTAGAGTAATAATATTGATCTCTCCATATAGCTCCAATTTACAAATAAATTCGCCCCTTTCGAATTAATTAATTTAATTAATTTAATTGATCGATTTATCTCCCTAAATTTAATTAAAACATCCACTAGTGATTAATTTAATTACTGATAATATAAGTAATCTTTTTTTTTATCCAAAATTAGTAGTATTCAACTCTTGATTATTATGTTGGATATTAATCTGCCTGCAGACCTTAACATAATAAAGCTTCCTCTACATCATCAACCCAGCGGACTAGGACATAATGATCGTAAATAATTTTTAACAACCATCTTATAAATATAATAATTTACCAAAATACTTAGTATGTCATCCTAACTAAAATTACATAAGGTTCTATTTATGTACATTAAAACAACATGTGAATAATACAAAGTAAATACAACATAAGATAATATTTGAGCATATATATTTTAAGAGGGCATACTTTCATTATTAGTCCACTATATTGGCCTCTTTTAGCGAAGATCCACCTATTTGTCAACTTGGTCCATTAATTTTAAAAATTCATCAAATAAGGTATATTAATCAATAGTGATAAGATAAAATTCATTGTTTTTTTTAAGTCAAATTCGAATGTCGTCTAATGTCTATGTGACCGACCAATTGATTCTTCTCATTGATACGGTCGTGCCTTTAAACTTTTAGCACAACCGTAGTCGTTTGCCCACTCAATTTTTCATCAAAAAAAATTAGATTATTTTATATCCGGTATAATTTCGACACTATCTAAGATCTTACTTAGGTGGGTGACCAACCACCATATTCTTCTTATCGAACTAGTCCTATCCACCAAATTTGATTTCAATTGGAGTTTGTTTGCCTACTCAATTTATCATCCAAAATATATAGTTTTATCTTAAATTCGTTGTTCTCTATTTAGGAGGCATTTTGGTGTCTTCTAGTGTAAGTTTAGTCGGGTGACTCACCGTTGGATTTGTCTCATAAAGACGGTCGTAACCACAAATTTGTAGCTAAATCAGATTTCATCTGTATACTCAATTTTTCATTCAAAATAATTTGTCTTATATTTTCGCATAATTCAGGTGTTGGTCCTGTCAGTTTCAAGAATGTGATCTACCCTTGACTTCTTCTTGTCGAGACGGTCATATGCACAAAATTTCATACTCACGGGAGTTCATATGTTCAGTTAATTGCTCATCTAAAGTTATATACACAAATTACATTATGATTGGCCCGTGATCTCAGCCCGGGCCGAGTCCGTAATAAATAAATATAAATAGTTAGTAATTAATGTACCTTATTTTATTATTATAGCTGGAAAACAATATAGTGAACGAAATTATGGCAGTAAAAAAAGTATGTGACATGAAAGGATAAACTAAAATATAGTAAGTTAACTAATTATTCAACATATTGTAAATGAAACTCAACATATTTGACATTTAAAAAAATATAGTAAGTTAACTAATTATTCATTGAGTATTGTAAATGAAAAAAATGTATAAATTTGAAATTAATATAATTATGCTATGAGAAGCAAAATAAATAAATAGTATTACAGGTAGTCCATTTTGAAGAAAATAGACAAATTAAATAGATAAACAAGTTAGCAGTTTAATAAATCTTGAGTCTCATTCCAAGAACCAGTGCTAAGCATAAGCATCCCAAATAAGGCAGGAGGTAGTTATGTGATTTAGGTTTCAACAGTTGGTTTTGGCAGATATCTCTCTGGAATTATCAGGGCCGCTGGCTGAGGATGGATATTCCCTCGTGTTCCCGTACTCGCTGCTGTTGAATTCTTGGCTTGATATTACCATCTTCCTGAACTTCATCATGTCAGCATTGTAGGCCATCGTGTCGTATCCACCTTCTGACCCATTCATATATGCCGGCCTTATCCCTTCGTTCAAGGATGACTCTCCTTCCAACGCATGTGCAATCTGATCACAAAATATATATTAATGAGTTATTTCTTTGTTTTGAATTTGCATTTTCAGGAGGGGAGGGATACTTGTGAGAGGCTATCTAGCTATGCAAACTACATAGTGTTCTGATCACATGCTCTCTTTAATCTATAAATAATATATCTCACTTGATAGAAATTGGGGGAAAAAGGGTGTTGTCCCACTATCATGAAGGACACCATGAAAGAAGGAAAAAGCCCATATAAAGCCAAATGGGGTTCCATCCCAAAACCAATTGGTGGAAGGAGGAGTAGCCCATTAGTCTTATAAGGTGGGTCTATTTTCCATATATGAACGATGTGGGACAATTCACAAGTGATATTCTAACACGCCCCCTCACTTGTGAGTCCTTCGAAAGCCCAAGCCCAACTGGGCTGGGTGCCCCAAGCCCTACTACAAACAGGCTCCCATAAACGGGTACGTGGGGGATAAACAATGGGCACGTCATCACACGATCCAAGATAGAACCGACTCTGATACCATGACAGAAACTGGGGGGACAACTCACAAGTGATATTCTAACACGCCCCCTCACTTGTGAGTCCTTCGAAAGCCCAAGCTCAACTGGGCTGGGTGCCCCAAGCCCTACTACAAACAGGCTCCCATAAACGGGTACGTGGGGGATAAACAATGGGTACGTCATCACACGATCCAAGATAGAACCTGCTCTGATACCATGACAGAAACTGGGAGAAAAAGGGTGCTGGCCCACTACCATGAAAGACACCATAAAAGAAGGGAAAAACCCATATGAAGCCCAAATGGGGTTCCATCCCAAAACCAATTGGTGGAAGGAGGAGTAGCCTATTAGTCTTATAAGGTGAGTCTATTTTCCATATATGAACGATGTGGGACAACTCACAAGTGGTATTCTAACATCTCTTTTTAAGGAGAGTTGTTTCTTGAAAAAAATGCATTGTAAAAAATGCCATTTACTATAGTTAATTTCTAAAGTCAATAATGTCATTTTGTAACTAATGTAGGGAATTACAATTATCAACTTTTATTTTTTCAAAATTTTGGTCATTTTCAATAAAATTAAATTGAAAAGTAGAGTATCAAGTATTATATGTTTAAAAATGATAGAAGTCCAACTATAACCCTCATATACAACTAATATTTTTTTTTTAATTTACAATTTATTATTTGGTAAAAGAATATACATAATCAAACAATAGAAATAGTTTTTATGATTTTTAAATTATTATATAAAAATATTGTCGATCATATTATTCCATTTATCTCATAATATTAAGTTAATTAAATAACAAATTAAAAATTATTCTTTGGGGTTCATAAGGTTACTTTTGCTTTTATTATTATTATTTTTCTTTTAAGATAATTAATGTTTTAGAAGATTCCGAAAATATAATTTAAGTTCACCTTTCACAAATACACATAGTATAAATATTTTTCCATACTAATATGTGTTAGATTTGCATATCAATTATTTTTATTTTAGTAAGAATAAAAAATATAAAAATATTATAAAATTATAATAAAAATATTTGAAGAAATCATAAATTTATTATATATATCTAATTGTTAAAATTTAGTTATCATTAGAATTATTTAAATGAAAATAAGGAATATGTTTACTTTACATTCGATGTCATAGTCAATGTTACATGTAATATTACTCATTCCATATTCATTTAAAAATTGTTGCGGCTAACTTGTTTGAAAAAAAAAAATAATAAAATATTAACCATATTATAAAATCTGTTGTCTGGACAAATTTGGAAAGTTTAAAATACAACATTGATTGAAATTGTATCAACAAGGTGCATCATCCTTTCGGCAATTAGCTCATATAAAATCCAATGTTATTGTTTGGACCAATGCACATTATAATGGCAAGATAAAAATATTACATAAAAGAACCATTAATTAATAATTCGTTGAACTCTTATGTTTAAGATTTTGAATTTCCATATAAAAAGTAGTCAATATGTAATATTTTTTTATGAGCACATTGGTTGTTTATATTTTGTTATATATATATATATATATATTAAGTATCTTCAAACAGGTTATTGTTCTCTAACATTTTTCATTTTTCTTTTATATTTTATATCATTACATCGGTGGAAAAAAATTATCTAAGTGTTAAGAAAGATTGAGCTTGCAAACATATCTCATATTTCACGTTCTATATGTTATCGACCAAAATTACGTACAAAAAATACTCTCCCACCGTAGCTACACAATAATCGAAAAAAATATAGCAAGCAAAAAAATCCAAACAAACTTAATTAGCTTTGAATTAAGTTACATTCAATATATATTGACATAAAATTATATTTATATCATGTGTATTATTAAAGGTGAGCAAAAATATTATTAATAGGAATCATTGTTCTTAATAAGTTAGAAATTAAATAAGAAATATTTCTATTCATAGAATATATATTTTTTACCTGAAAAATATTTTAAAATAATTTTTTTACTTATGTGTATAATGCATGACTATTATTTGCTTAAATTCACACAAATACATCAAAGATAAGATTAAGAGAAAACATTCAAACAACATTGACGAACATTGAATTAATCTAATCACTAGAAACAACAGTGACAACAAAGTAAGATATAAAAAAACTAAATCAGTTAAAATAACTACAACGATGATCATGATTTCAAAGAACATAGAAGACAATATCAATTAAGAAATGAGAGATAAATGGTACTTCGTTAGCAGTCAACAATCACTGAATAATTGATTGATTTCATTTTTGAATGTTTAGTACAAAATTATTTATTTATTTTTATTTAATGGTATTTCGACTAGGTTACAAATTGCGCTTGTAACCTCTCATTATTCCAGGATTCGAACTTGGCCTGTGTACATTGTCTATTGGCTTTTTAATATATGAGATGTTATGCCGTTGGAAAAAAAAAATTTAATACTATTAAAGATTATGTTTTATTGCAGCATTTACAAAATTATTATATATGTGTTTCATCTTTTATTAGACAAACGAAAAATTTTGAACTTTAAACATAAATTCTGAGAATAATACAACTTTTAAATCATTAAAAAGTTTAAGTAATCACGTGCGTCGCACGTGCAACTTTCTAGATATTTTAAAGACACAAAAAAGATTGGGCAAAAGTTTTCAGTTTTTCCTCAACCTAACTTTATACTTGTTTACCCATCACTTAATTAGGTATGTGATCACTTTTACAACTAACGAAGGCGTACGTTATACACAGTGCAGTTCCCTACTGTCTTCTTTATATTTATTTATAAATTTTACCTGACTCATCTTCGGGCGTTGTCTTGCTGAATGCCGTATACTGGCAGCAGCACAAGCAACCATATGAGCCATTTCGTGGACAATGTAGTCACCTTCAAGTCGTGGGTCGGCCAGCTCGTTAAAATTTCCATCTTCCATTGCTTTGGATAAAAGAGGCCTGGCCTGTTTAATGCATTAGAAAGAATTGAAAATGGAAAGAGCGTTTATTAGTTAGTCATCTCTAATAATATGGGAGTGTTCCAAACTCAAAAAATATTTGATAAATATAATAAAGAAAATAAAAGGAAGAAAAAATTATGTAGTTCATTTGGAGTTACTAATGCTGAATCCAACTAAAATCATTAGTTCATTAAGTAAATGGGTGAGTCGATGACTTACCCAATCAACTAAACTATCTTCCATAGTCCTATTAGTTGGATCCACAGGTCGGCGGCCGGTTATAAGTTCCAATAACATTACTCCAAATGAGAAAACATCTGATTTTTCTGTTAGTTTGCCACTTGATGCGTATTCAGGAGCCAAGTACCTGGATATTATACCAAAAAAGAAGAAAATTATTATTAGCAACTAAATTTCAACAATTTCTCACGTGAATATTAATAAACTTCCGACCATGCTTGTAAACGCATGCACAAGAAAAATCAAGTCAAGATATTCCATCAATTATATTTAGATCATTCAAAATTACAAAAAAAGGAATAGAAAATCGAGGGATGAACAAGCGAATAGTGATTACTTAAATCAAAGTTGTAACCAACATAAGGCATTGCAATCATTTTGAGAGTCATTAGGACTCACCCAAAAGTTCCCATGACACGTGTGGAGACATGAGTGTAATTATCAGAAGTGAGTTTAGCCAAACCGAAATCAGCAACCTGCACAAGGAAGAAAAAAATCGAATATCAGGAAATTTAAGCACGATGCATTAATCCTTAGCATATATATATATAGGGGTTGGTTCAAATAAAAACTAGTTTTGGTGTGAGAATCGTGAAAACCGTTTTAATGCTATTTTTAATTGTGTATGATGCTATTTTTCATATTAGATGATGCTATCATTCTTACAAATTCTAACAGAAATTGTGTTGTTATTTTTAGTAAAATTCATCCTGATTAAAAATAGCACCAAACACAATCAATCATAGCACTATGCACAATTAAAAATAGCGGTTCTCACTGTTCTCACACTAAGACTTGATTGTTGATATCATTTTACCATGGCTTCGAAGTTGTAGTCAAGAAGAATGTTAGCAGATTTGATATCCCGATGGATAATCCGCGGATGGCCTATATATATATATATATACGCACATAAGAAAATGGTCATTTTAGAAAAATGATGAGAACACATTATATCCAACTAAAATGAACACAATAGATACAAATTACAATAATTAGTTATTCATACAATCTTCGTGTAGGTACGCGAGCCCTTTAGCTGATCCCACCGCAATCTTAATCCTAGTTGCCCAATTCATCACTGGCTGCCCCTTTCCTTCATATAGATTAATACATGTATCCCTTTCATCAATCATTTTATTTACGCTACACTATATCATCATTAATTTGTGATAAATCCAGATTTTGTGAACACGTACGTACGTACCGTGAAGATGGAAGTCCAAGGTTTTATTTGGCACGTACTCGTACACGAGAAGCCTCTGTTGGTTGGCAATGCAATAACCAACGAGGGATACAAGATGACGGTGGTGCACACGGGTGATGATTTCAACCTCGGCCTGGAACTCTCTGTCTCCCTGGCCGCTCCCAGTCTTGAGGCTCTTAATGGCCACGTCACGGGTGTCGGGTAGGACACCCTTGTGCACGTAACCGAACCCCCCTTGCCCTATAAGGTTAGCCTCACAGAACCCAGCAGTGGCCGCTGCAAGCTCCTCGTACGTGAACTGGGACATGCTCGGAGTCGGGGGGGACAGACCACCACCTGCAACAGCAGCTGGTAATGGGATTGAGTATCCGAGGGAGCTGAAATCGCTGCTCATGAAACCCGGAGGTGGAGGGAGATTCTCGGTTCCAACTCCGGATTGCAGGTATAATTCATTATCACCTGCACAAAACCAACAACCTCAAACTTACTTAACTAACACCTATATTATATTATACTCTCTCCTATCCCTCCTATTCATAATAACTGTCGCTTTGAGAAGTTGCACAGTAATTAAGAATCATTTTTTTTGCCAATAATAAGACTCATTAATGAAGATAGAGATGGATGCTTTGAGAAAAGATGGAGAGTGAATATGAAAAGACGTAGTATATTTATTAGTTAAATGGGTAACAATAGAAAAATATGTACAAAAAATTCAAAACGTTATTTATTTGATTAACGGTTGATAAAACTAAAATGACATTTAAAAAGAATAGGATATAATATTATAGCATACCGGCCACAAAATAATAATTATCAACCTTGCACGTGTTTAATCAATTTCACACATTATGATTAACAAAAATTACTCAAAACATATATCAATTTTCCTTATATTATATTAATTTGTGGGAAAAATTTTATTTTTAATCCATTGCATTAATTTAAAAAATTAATCAAAACAATTACTCTAATCGTTAGTTGTAGAATAACGGCGGATTATAACGGGCTTGGCGCGGGCTAATCAAGTGCCGAATATGTAATTTGTGCATATAACTTTGGACGGACAATTAATTGCGCAAATGAACTTTAATTGATCTAAAATTTTAGGTATATGACCGTCTCGACGGGAAGAATTTCACTTTGGATCACATACTTGAAACTGACATTAGCCAATAACAAAACATTAGGATAAAAATAGAACAACTCAAATTATTTTGGACGAAAAATTAAGCGGCTAAATGAAATTTAATTGAGCTACAAATTTGTGGTTACGACCGCATTGACCAATGATGAATTACCCAACTAAAGCGTACACTATAAGGCGCCAAAATGACACATAAATAGAGAACAACGAATTTAAACCCAAATTATTTTGAGTGATAAATTGAGTAGGCAAATGACCTACAACTGAGATCAAGTTTTGTGAGTATGACATGTTTGATAAGTACAATCTGATGGCGTGTCATCAACCTAAGTCTGATGCTATATGGCATCATAATTAAACAAATAGAAAACAACCCAAATTATTTTGATGAAAAATTGAGTGAACAAACGAACTACAATTAGGCTACAAGTCTACCGATATGATTGTCTCGACGAGGAGAATCCAATGGTGGGTCACGCACTTGAAATAGACATCAAACGACTTTGTAATAGGTAAAAAAAAAAACGAAGTATTTTATCCTCATGTTAATGATTATTCTACCTTACTTGATGAACTTTTTAAATTAATGTACTAAATTTGATGTCTGCACAAAAAAATAAAATAAAATAAAATAATAAATAAGCATTTGGTGGAAAGATGCCAATATAGTAAACTAAAAATAATGCAATACATTGTGTGACTTCATTCCACTAACATGACGTAAGATTTTTTTTCTTTTTTGATAATTCTAATCTTTGCTTTTCATGAAAGATATGCAAATGTTCTGTCATGAATAGACTTTTGTTAGACATGTCTAACAGTTCATATATGCATACTTTCTAACTAAAATGTCATATGTTTTAAAAAAACAAAACAATCAAAAGTGTAACATCTCATAAAAAAAAGTATGACCATGTCTAACGATTCGGTCGACTCATACGATTAGGCCGACTCATACGAGATTTTTCAGGACAATCTGCATATGTACTTTAACCACAGTTACACAACTTCATTGGCATGAAACTTTATTGTTACACATTGATGCTCATTACGTGTATAATTGCACCGCCCAGAAATGATTCTACATTAGAATTAAAAAAATTATTTCGTATTCTTTCTACTTAAGAAAATTTAAAGAATTCTTAGTCACTAGAATAATTATTAAGCTGAAGGATAAATATAGGGATCATGAGAATTTTCTTTATGGCGGCAGTTAATTAGTACCACCTTAATTACTTTATAAATATGAATGTGAAGGGAATTTCCAGACTTCTCACAGCTGATAATCAAGTTCTCACTCAAAAGGAGGAGATAGAGAACCATATTTCTGAATATTTTGGTTCACTATTCACATCAGAGGGATCAAGGGGAGGTGATACTCTTACCCAACTTATCCCCAAAACTATTACTGAGGAAATGAACCAAAACCTGCTCCAGCCAGTAGGGGAAGATGAAATACACCTAGCCCTTTCTAGTCTTCCAGTAGAGAAATCACCAGGTGAAGATGGAATGCATGCCTTATTCTACCAACACTAAGCCTGACCTGATTGCTGCCATTCAGAGTTTTTTTGAGTCAGGTACTCTCTTGCAAAACTGGAACCATACCTTGGTTTTTATTCCCAAGTGCAAGAACCTAGAACTTCTTAGTCAATACAGACCAATTAGTCTTTGCAGCGTGGTCTATAAAATTCTTTCCAAAATTTTGGCTATGAGGTTGAAGCTGTGTCTTGATTGTTGCATCAATGCTAGTCAGTCAGCTTTTCTGCAGGGTAGGCAACTATTAGATAATGTGATAATTGCCCATGAGGCCTTCCATATTCTCAGTAGGCACAGAACAAGGATGAATTATTTATGGCCCTTAAGCTTGACTTGATGAAGGCTTTTGACACAGTTGAGTGGGGCAGTTTGCATAGAATTATGGTGAAAATGGGGTTTGATTACAGTTCATTAAGCTGATTATGTCCTGTCTCACAACTGCTACCTTTTCTTTTAATGTCAATGGTGCCACTGGTGGCTTTGTTTCTCCTTCTAGAGGAATTCGTCAGGGAGATCCATTATCTCCTTACTTATTCCTTATTATTGCTGAGCTGCTATCTGCCATTATTCAAAATGCTGTTGACAATGGATCTTTGTCAGGGTTGAAAATCTCTAGGGAAGATCCAAGTTTCTCACACTTATTGTTTGCAGATGATACCTTGTGCTTTTGTAAAGCAGGAGTAGAGCAAGTCAATGTGCTTATCTCAATACTGGAACAATATAGGCTCTTCACTGGACAAAAGGTTAACATGGGGAAATCCACTATTATGTTCAGCAAGAACACACCCCAACACCTTCAGCACACCATCTGCCAGAGTTTGTAGGGAATCAAACCCCATCAATCCAGTAGGTACCCTGGGCCTCCCTCTAGGGATTGGTAGATTAAAAAGGGAAGCTTTTGACTATATGTTGTAGGCTATGAGAACAAAACTTACCACCTGAAAAAACAAACTTCTGTCAGTAGCTGGAAAAGAAGTGCTAATTAAGGCAGTTCTGAATGCTCTACCAGTTTTTACCATGGCATGTTTCAAGATTCCCAAAGCAGTGGTGAAGGAGATCTCTAGGTTGTGTGCCCATTTCTGGTGGAGCAAGGGTGAACTTCAGGATAGGGGTTTGCATTGGAAATAATGGAATACTTTAAAGGGATTCCAAGATATGCTGTTGTTGAATAAGGCCTTGATATGCAAGCAAATTTGGAGGATCACCTCTAACCCTGAGCTTTTGGAGAGTAAAATACTGAAGAGCAGGTACTTCCCTACCACCTCAATCTTTGAAGAAACAAAAACCCAAAACAGTTCCTGGCTATGGAACAGTTGGGTAACAATCCTTCCTGATTTTGCAAGAGGATTCAGAACAGAGGTTAGAAATGGTGCTGACACAAGAATTGAAGACCCTTGCTGGGTACCACATTTGAAAGACAGAAAACCAAATCTTCTGGCTATTGCTAGAGGTCACCTAATTTGGGTGAAAGACTTGTTTGATGATAATCACACTGGCTGGAATGATTGGTTGGTAAAGCAGGTCTTTGCTGTGGAAGAGAACACTGCCATTCTGAATATTTCCACCATCAATCCCGAAAGACCTGACATAAAATTCTGGTGTCTGCATAAAAAAGGCATGTTCACCGTCTCTTCTATATACTCTGAATTGATTCTCAAGAAAGTCCAGGATCTTGACATCCCAGAAGGTAGCTGCATCTCAAAGGCCATCAAAGCTGCAAGAACACTGACATGGAAGCTAAAGGTTAACATCAAAATCAAACAGCTCCTACGGAAGTGCTGCTCAAGTACTCTCCCTGTTAAAACAACTTTGAAAACTAAAGGTCTTTACATAGATGTAATATGCCACGGCTGTGGAGAGGAGCCAGAAATGGTGGAGCATGTTTTTTTCCACTGTTCAAAAGCTAGAAGGCTGTGGGAAATAAGCCCGATTCAATGGGATTGCTTGCAAGAACCTGATATTAAATTCAGGTCCTGGTGGATGTATATCTGCTCGAGTGGTAAGTGTGATGTGGCTGAAGAAAGGATTCAATTGACAACTTACAAGTTATGGTGGTTGTGGCGCTCTAGAGGCTTATAGCTGTTTAAAGGCATTAATATCCCAACTCGGTTGCTGCTCAACAGTGCAATCAGAGAATGGCTCAAATTTTCTTCCACATAGCTTGTTATCTTTTATGTTATAGTGTATCCCTTTCCTATTTTGCTATTTTTGAACATGAGAACTAAGCTAGGCATGTTGCAGTGGTTTAGTGTCTTATGTTTTTTTAGTTTTTTTGGACCTTGTATTTGTTTGTTGTCCTGTGATGGGCGTCTAGGCCACTTGCATGCGAGTCCTCCCAGTTTTTCAGTTGTAGATTCTTTGTATTCGAACTTTGTTCTCTGTTTAATACATCTTCTATCGTTTCGAACAAAAAAAATGTGAAGGGAATTGAAAACAAATAATATATCATTGTGTACCAGTAATTTTCCTTTAATATATATTCACTTCCAATAAAATTAGCAACTCACTCACTCCACTTATATATCTACACTACTGTTTCCAAACAAAGAAATATATTACAATTCTAATTTCATAATTCTTATACTATAATGGTATGATTGGTATGATGGAATCGAATTTCGTAGGAATGGAATGAATTGAAGAATGAAATGATTATGGGAATGGAATGAAACATGTTTTGTCATTGATGCGTTTGGTATGCAGAAGGAATATGATTGGAATGGAATGACATTATCATTTTTAATATAAAAATAAATAAAAGCTTTTTTTAAAAAATAATATACTTTAAATAAAATATATATAAATACTTTTTTAATAATATATTTTTAATCATATATTTTGAATAATATATACAAATAGAATAATATATTGTTTAATAATATAAAAAATAATATATTTTTAATAATATATAAAAATAAAATAATTTATTTTTAAATTATATATAAAAAATAATATATTCTTAAAAGTAATATATTTTTAATAATATTTAAAAATAAAAAGTAATATATTTTTAATAATATATATTTTATTTTTTAATTAAACAGTAAATAAAAGTAAGTTTTCAATTTTTTATTTGAATTTTATTTTTTAAAATAATATATTTTTAATAATATTTAAAAATAAAAAGTAATATATTTTTAATAATATATATTTTATTTTTTAATTAAACAGTAAATAAAAGTAAGTTTTCAATTTTTTTATTTGAATTTTTTTTTAAATAGTTTTATTTAATATATTTTAATCATGATTTATAATATATATTATATATTTATTTTTTATTATTATTTGTTAATTTTATTTTTTAAAAAATTGATTCCTACACATATGGGAATGAGAAAACCTTCCATTTACTATGGAATGGCTAATCCCATGGAGATGGGTTTTGCCATTCTTATTGAAATGATCATTCCTTCCAAAAAAGTATACCAATCATGGGATAAGGAATGAGTAAGAGAATGATCATTCCATTCACATGTCATTCCTTCCTACCAATCATGCCATAAGTACTAATAATGGTAGAGCCTGGTTGGATCAGTACTTGGTCGAAACTACTTTTATATTTACTGTCCAAATACCTTTTTAAATCCTGCTATAACAACTTTCCAAATAGCAATAAAATATAAATTCATATTTTCTATGGAAAAAATTACTGCTACCGGGTCATTAAAACGAGGATATATATTTAGAAAAACTCTATAGGTACATAATACTACACATAGAGATGTACATAACACTCACATTAAGTGGGTCCTACCAAAAATAAAAAATCAAGTGGACCCCACTCCATGTGAGCGTTATGTACATTTATTATGTACTTGTAACATTTTTTATATTTTTTTGTCATTGTATATACTATTATATTATTCTCTCTTCATATAGACAATTTAGTATCTACCCCATGGAGGCATCGCCCTACGGGGTTAGAATGAGTTGCATCTTTAAATAAATTTAAACTTTCATAACTTGGTTACATATAGACGCTAAATTATTTTTTGAAATCATCACTCATTACATGAAAGCTAAATTATTTTTTTAAATCATCACATTACATGAAAATATATAATCTATAGTAATTGCACATATGTTCGAGCATAATACAACAATGAAATTGTAAATATTACTATCAAAAAGTGAAAATTCCATTTAAAATTATAAAATATTTCGATCAGGCTATGACAATCTCTTTTCAATATTATTTATTAGAAAGATTGACGAATTATATAATCTATTGTTTGCAAATCATTGATCATTTTTGTTGTTGCAATGATTTCATAGTTATTTATCATAATATCTTTCACATTTGTTCGGATTTGCAATAATTATGTGTCTAATAACTTCTTTAATGCTTTTATTGTCACAAATTTTGCATCATATATAATGCTTCAAAAATTTAAGATATATTTTTGTACTAAATTTAACTTCTTTAATGCATTATGTTTGGATTTGCACATAGTGCATATTAGTACATAATGCATATTTAGTTTATTATATACTTATATTAGTACATATTAGCAACAAAATATTATGAACTAATTTTATATAATTTTTATTTTGTATTTTTATTATATACTTATATTAGTACATAATACATATTTAATTCATTCATTCTACATATTTAGATAATCAGAAATACATATTTAGTTTATCATAGTTTATATTTAGTTCATGTGCGGTCCAATCATAGTACATCAATGGATCATATTAAACAATTGCAATTTACATTAATTATGTAATAAAAAATATTAGTTATTATATTTAAATAAATAATACAAAATGCACATATAATTGCATATTTTCGCGGCATATTTAATTCATGCAAAATGCTCATTTAGTTTATATGTAGTGCATATTTTGTTCATAAACAATACATACTTAGTTGATATTATTGTTGCATATTTCTTATATAATCAATTGGATATTATTGTTTTTGGATTTTATTATAAAGTTAATGTAATACATAATGTATATTTAGATTTATTATGCATATTTAGGTAAAAAGAAACATATATTTAGTTCATCATAGTGTATATTTATGATATTTAAATTAAATATACACAAATTCATATTTAGTTCATTCATTATGCATATTTAAGTAATAAGAAATGCATATTTAGTTCATCATAGTGCATATTTATTATATTTAAATTAATTATATATATAATGCATATTCGGTTCATTCATTACGCATATTTAGTTCATTCATTAAGAATATTTTGTTCATACAAAATTCATATTTAGTTCATTCATTATGAGTATTTAGTTCATAAAAAATGCATATTTATTATATTTAAATTAATTATATACATAATGCATATTTATTTCATTCATCATTATATTTAGTTCATCATAGTGCATATTATTATATTCAAATTAATTATATACATAATGCATATTTAGTCCATCAAAGTGCATATTTATTATATTCAAACTAATTATATGCATAATGCATATTTAGTTCATTCGTTATGCAAATTTGGTTCATAAGAAGGTCATATTTAGTTCATACAAAATGAATATTTTGTTTATTCATTACGCATATTTATTTCATAAGAAATGCATATTTAGTTCATACAAAATGCATATTTAGTTCATTCATTATGCATATTTAGTTAATAAAAAATTCATATTTAGTTCATCATACTGCATATTTGTTATATTTAAATTAATTATATACATAATGCATATTTAGTTCAATATGATTTCTTGAGCCTCCGATAACCTGCAATACACCGCGAGGTGGTCTCTGCAAAAAATCTCCGATGCTCCGGTCAGAACTCGCTCAACTGTATACAAGAATATAATAAAAAAGGTGTAGAGTGTGTGTTGTGTTATATGAGAGAACTGGTCGTCTTTTTATAGGACTTAATACCTTGGGGCTGACAAAAGTTCTTGATAGGGAAGAGATCCAACAAGATTCTAGTTCCCTAACCTACAACATCTTTGTCTTGGTAAGAGTTCATGAGCAAGTGATTCTTTGCTTCTCACTTGGATTCTCCCCCCTTTTATTGTTTTAGCTCATGGATCCTTAGGTCGTAAATCTGACATCCTGACCTGTCTGTCGCAACCTTTTTGAGAAGGTACCTGACCTTATCCTGATGTCCAAACTGACCTCATCTTAAGTTTAATTTGTCCTCAGACCACTCGACCTCGATATATTGAGGTCGGTTAATTTGTCGGGCTCATGGAGGATGGTACCTCCAGGTCATGTATGTTCTGTGAGCTTGGTACCTTAAGCCCTTGACCGAGCTACCTAACTAAGCATCTTGCTTCTATATGAAGGAGTTCTTCTAGCCCGACTTTAGCCGAGCTACTCTTTAAGGTTGGTGTGCCAAACTACTTCTGAGTGCTATATAATGTCTCTTTTTTTTTTTATTTCTTGTTGTCATTATTGAAGGATCAGGAAAAGATATTAATTTTAAATTTTTGAAGCATTATATATGATGCAAAATTTGTGACAATAAAAGCATTAAAGAAGTTATTAGACACATAATTATTGCAAATCCGAACAAATGTGAAAGATATTATGATAAATAACTATGAAATCATTGCAACAACAAAGATGGTCAATGATTTGCAAACAATAAATTATATAATTCGTTAATCTTCCTAATAAATAACATTGAAAAGAGAATGTCGTAGCTTGATCAAAATATTTTAGAATGTTTAAATGGAATTTTCACTTTTTGATAGTAATATTTAGAATTTCATTGGTGTATTATGCTCGAACATATTTGCAAGTACTATAGATTATATTTTTTCATGTAATGTGATGATTTAAAAAAATAATTTAGCTTTCATGTAATGAGTGATGATTTCAAATAATAATTTAGCGTCTAAATGCAAACAAGATTTTGAAAGTTTAAATTTATTTGGAGATGAAACTCATTCTAACCCCGTATGGCGATGCCTCCATGGGGTAGATACTAAATTCCCTATATGAAGATAGAATAATATAATAGTTTATACAATGAAAAAAAAAATGAAAAATGCTACAAGTACATAATAAATTTACATAGAGGTGTACATAACACTCACATGGAGTGGAGTCCACTTGATTTCTTATTTTTGATAGGACCCACTTAATGTGAGTGTTATGTACACATCTATGTACAGTATTATGTACTTATAACATTTCTCAAAAAATATTAGCAATTTTAATGACACGGTTAGTTATTTCTCAAAGATATCCTTGATCAATTCGTAGAAATATCTTATAAAGATAATACAATCATGAAGTTTGACTATATGTTTGACCAAAATATTTCTAATTGTTTTAATAATGTTGACTTTTTGCTTAATGAATTAAGAAGAAATTTTGCCTATTGATGTATTGGGCTCCAACGGGTAGATATAAGAACGTCAACACTATAATGAAAGAAAATCACTCTTGAATAACCTTACATAAATCAGTAAAAGAATTAATGCATCTATAATATACATTATGTCTTTATTTAGTTCTTTAGTGGCTTTTTTTTTCAATTATGGACTCATTTTTCATATATTTTTATTGAGGTTGTAATAAGTTATTTTGTTCTTTTATATTAGAAAATCGTTATGTTATTTTTTGTAGAAAAAAAGTAAATTAGAGCTCATTTGTTCTACATTTTATTTTGTTCCTGCAATAATATGTTTAATAAATTGTTTGATTTATTTTACTAAACCTAATGGGCAAAAACATTAACCACCACGTGCACTTTACTAGTAGCTTTAAAAAGAATAATCACCTCTCCTCTGCCAAAATCAGTGTTGGTTGGACTTTTAAACTCTAAAACTATGGTCTCAAAAGATCCATCAATCACAATTATTTTGTAATAATTTTCTACAAAATTATTGATCCGAAGTATTGTGAAATTGAAATGAAGTTGGCAACATAAATAAGTACCTTGGGGCCTGATGTGAGAAGGATCCATATAATATGGGTGTTTTTTTTTTTCTTTGTGGAGCACAATAAGCATATGATAAAAAGAGCAAGCATCGCGACTCCCCCAACGGCAATCCCAACAATAAGAGCTGCATCAGGTCTCGAAGTAGACAGTGGTGGTTTTGAGCCCTCCGTAACATTGTTACCTGATGCCGGTCGTGGTGGTGAAAGAGCTACAAGAGGTGGTGGAGAGAAGGCATAAGGAGGAGGAGGAGGGTCGAATAGGATGGCTGGAGGCGGTGGTGCGGTGGTGGCAGGCAGTGGAGGCAAGGTGGCAGGTGGTGGAGGAGTGGTGGAAGACGGTGGAAGAGTGGCGAAAGGTAGTGGAGGCGAGGTGGCAGGTGGTGGAGTGGTGGCAGGAGGTGGAGGAGTGGCGGCAGGCGGTGGCGGCAGAGAGGAGGACGCCTGTGGAGGTGGAGGGGTTGAGGTGTTTGGCTCATCTTCAGGCGGCGGAGAAGGGGATTTTGGGGGCGGCGAAGGTGATGATGGCAGAGGTGGTGGGGATGGATAGGGGGAAGGTGACGGTGAGTTGTCGTCATCATCTACTGGTGGTGGTGGTGGTGGTGGTGGTTGAGGAGGAGGAGATATGTCTATTTCGTTGGAATCACCTAATTTAGATGTCTCTGGAGATGACGCCATTCATTAATTTGTTGTGATAATGATCCACCGGCTACCTACATACCTACCATGATATCATGAAATGATATGATAATGATATTGATCTCACCACAATCCACCTGAATAAAAATGACAACATATCACTCAAATTATACATACATACATACATACATACTACAATTAATTAAAACATTCATGCGATATATGGGTGCATGCATGAATTTTTTCTTTATATTAGACACTAAATAAAAATTCTCACGCACAAGAAAAAGACTGAAGGAAACATGGTTTTTGCAGAGAGAAAGGAATATTTACCTTAATTGAATTGAAAAGATGGAAGGCATGGAAGATTTAGAAATCATTAATGCTTTTTTTTAAAAACTTTAATCGTACCAAGGCAAGGGCCACCCTCTAAATCCGCCTTTCTATAAAAAGCTCTTTTAAACTATTCTCTCCCCTCCTCTCTCATTTCTCTCTACCTCTCTCTACCTGAGGTGTCATGTCCTGATTTGAGGACAAAAATAGTTACCTTCTCAATTCCTTTGCATTAACAAAATTAGATTAATTTTTTGAGATAGGATAGAATAGAAACGAGCCCATTCTCTATTCCTTTTTTCTCCACAAGTTTATTATATAAGGCAATCTTAACGGTTAGACATTTCGAATTGTCATACTATACATGTTTCTCCAACAAATATGACACAAACTTTAGTGCTTCGTTTTGATTAATAAGAGATAGTTCATTTTGTCTTATTTTTAGTGTATTGCATTGCATATCATTTTATTTTGTTAAGATTGACTAATTTTAATAAGTTCTTTAATATTATTTAGATGTCCTCATCTATTTAATTCTAAATAACATATGTCGATGTCCTATTCTAGTTAAATTATTCCAAGTTTTATTAATTTCTTTGTCAAGCGAAAATCGCTTGAAATTTTAAGTTCGAGTGAAACCCATGTTTGTGAGCCATTTTTCTAATTTTTCCTAAGCTTGGACCAAACATTTTTTGGCCCTTTGTGCAATCAAAAACTCGGCCCTATAAGACATCAAGAGCCCTGCCCTTTAAGCCTCCAAATTTCCACCCTTCTTGTCCAAAGTTTTGGCTCCAAGTTGTTTCAAATTTCAAATTCTCTCTTGTAGCCATTTAAGATAAGCAACGTTGACCAAATCATACCATAATTCTCGACCAATCACCTCCTTTCCCTCATGATTTGCTCGATTAATCTATATCTATATAATAAGAATTACCATTTACTAAATATAGTAGCCAAAAATTTAGGAAACGTTTAATGCATACCATTGTTGAAATTTTTAAATATATGCATTAATTGCTTCCATATACACGTTTTCAAATAAGATATGAAAATTACTTAAATAAATTTATTAATATCTGTAATATTTTTATTGATGTTTATTATAGTAAATTACAAGATTGATTTTCCGTGATTTATGTTGATAATAATTTAGTCAAGATAAATATTATTTTATTAATATTTGTAATACTTTCATTGATATTCATTATACTAAATTACAAGATTGATTTCCATGATCCATGTTGATAATATTTTGGTCAAGATAAATATTACACCATATTTCAAGTTCTAACCATAATATTAATTTTTTTCACAAATATTCACTTTTTATCCAAAACTATTTATGGAAAATCATAACAGGTTAGATAGAATTTTTTTTCCAAGTAACCAAACAAAATCAAGTTGGTGAATTAATCTTTGCCAATATAATTTTTTTTCTTAAGCTTTATTTTGTTAAATATAAAAAATAAATTGTTCTTCAAATTAAAATAATTTACTATTTAAGAAATAATGACCAGATACATTAAATAGTTTTACTAATGGTAAAAAATTAAAATTGAAATATATAAACTATTTTTTAGAATTTATTTGTATATTATTGACACCTATGATTATTTTTTTTATTTTATTTCGATTTATTTTTTAACCAAATTCTTGTAAAATAAATTTGCATTGCAGAGTAATGCTAAATAAACTACAAATCCTAATAATGCGAAATCATGGAAGGGATTGAGATTTTGGCATTTTCTAAATCAAAGTTGTTTAATTAGTATACAAACCTAAATTCTAAAAAAACATGAGTTTATTTTGTAAAATATTTATACACTATTTAATTTTAAATTTATTTACATAATTTTCAATTTCAGTGAAGGTTAGCTCAAGCCATAATTTTTCCTCAGCTTATTCTTGATATTTTATGATTTATCATGAAGAAAAATCAAGCCATGCATGTGTTTTAATATGAGTTTCGAATTTTAAGAAATTAAGGCGTTAAAATCGGATTTTTAGTTGCATGCATGCTTAGACCGGATTTGATAGCCTAATGTACCTTATAAATCATGAGAATGATAGTGTATAAATTTGAGCATGTTTGGAGTTCGTTTATTCAGTCAACTTGTTCATGATATTAGGGCATTTTTCACTCTCGAGCCATAATGTTATGCATGCGAGTATATGCTATCATTTCAGCCCTATTTGTCACGTTTTATGTTGCTTAGTATTCGCCATTTATCTTAAGTTCAAGTTTTAGTAGTTAGTTCGGTGAGCTAGTGTTCGTACGTGTCTTATCGGCCTACCGAACAACATGCAAATTGACCCGAGGTCTCCTAGCATTTCTTTTCATATTTATGCCTTTTATGTCATATTGAGTTGATATATGTTTCATGCCACCGGAAAAGTAGCTGGATGGCTGGCAAGGGCCGCCCATGGTCACTGGCCGCGCATACCGCGCGCAGAGTGCCGACCCCGTGCCTGTCCGTGCCTTCAGAGGCTAGCCTTGGCCAGTGCCCGCGCCCTGTAGGCACGACGCACGGCAGGACCAGCGCACGCGATGTGCCCAACAGCGCGAGTCCGTGCCAGCACGCGTGGTAACGGCACCCATCGTGCTCAGCCCGCATGCACGGCATCCGACAGCGCGGTGCCAGCCCCAGCCCACGAGGTTTCGCGCCAGAAAATCGTGCCATGCCCAGGGCAGACCCGAGTCGGGTCAGCTTAGTCCAGCCGTGGCCGTGCCAGTGTGTATAGCGTCTGGCCAAGCGTGTTGAGCCCTCTCGAAGAACTCTTCTGATGAGTTAAAGTTCTATCTCTTATGTTTCATCTTGAGCAAGAACCAAGTGATTATCGATTGTATGCTGGATGATGTGGCCAAAGTTCTTCGAGAACGCGTCCAGTTTTGCTGATTTTTCGATCTTATATATGATCTGTTTTTATTGTTGTTTTTGAGCCCTGAAATCCCGCCGTCTCTTGTTGTAACCTTCTTGTAAATTATAGATCAGCCTGTTGCCTTTCATGAGGAACAGCATCGCGTGTTTATCATTTTATTTTTATCAAGATTTGCGTCAGAAACCCGATCGTTGCATAGTCAGTTTTTCGTGTAAACCTCAACAGTTGGAGTCTTTTATTTTCGCTAATTTTGGCATGCTTCTGGTAATCTGGGAACCTCGATGTCTTCATATGAATTGTAGTTTCGTCTCTTACGATTCAAACGGCGCAAGATTCATTCATGGGATGCGTTCAAGATACGAACTTCGTGCAATCAGATTTCTGGAAATTTGCAGCAAATATTAATGTGCGAGCTTGATCCATTTTCAACCCTTTAACCTACCGTTCACGCCTTTGCTACCCGAGTGCTATTCATTTGTCCTTGATTACTACCTTTCGCTTAGTAGTCAAGTTTGAATTGTATTTCGTAACCCATTCTTATTATTTGATTTTTGTTCCGTGACAAATTCGCTTGATTTTCTTTTCCTTGCGTAGAATTTTGGGATGAAGTTGAGCATCGAATTTTAGTTTCTATTGATTTTTATCTGATATCGAACCGTGTGCAGTAACTTCGCTAAGTCGGTGCAAAGGTCAACTGTACAATAATTTAGCCGTTTTCGATTTTGTGTTGTGTCCATCGTAAATTCTTCGAAGCTCCCGTTCTTCTCCCTTCGGAATTTCAAGAGTGACTCTTGCATTTCTTTGACTTTTGGCAACCCTCTGAAAACTCTAGTATTTGATTTGTTTGGAGTCTTCATTTGAGAAATTGCAACGTTATACATTAATTAAGACAAGTACTTTCGTTTTACCGTTTGTCTTATATCGTTTCCTTTCGATTTTAGCGATGCCATTCCAGTCTGGGTACTCCATTCATACCCGGATCGATTAGTCGAGTTTTATTTTTATCGTTGATGACCTATATTCGAGACGCGATCGAGACAAATCAACCAAGGAGTCTTCGTGATGAGATCCATAAACGTGAAAATCTTAGCAAAGTAGAGATTGAGCTCGTATAGGACTGCCGGCACGTTTAGCTACCGGAGATAGAGCTGACGTGACGGCCGACACTGTTAGTCGGAAGAGTCATGCGAGCTGACCATCTTCATTATTCGGCAATGACGGCTGAGTTGGGATGATTCCTAACTGAGGATGCCGATACTCGTCTTCCTTAGGAGATCCCTCCATGACTTTAATATATGTTATCCTCTTGAAGTTGTATGGTTCGGGGAATGATGTGATGATTTGGAAGCCCTGAACCATCGGAGCTTGTCGATACCTAAATGCTGGGGGACGATGTCTTTGTTATATCCTAATGTTTGTCGATTTTGTGAAAAACTTTTCCTTCCAGGCTACCTCAGATAGTGTGAGCCTTGAATTAGATTAATTCTTTTCTGTACCTCGAACCGAACGCCGACGCTGACTGGGTGTAGTCACGCAAAATGGTGGTCGAGCACGCGAGCCTGTGCTGAGAGACGTGAGGCACTGCAGGGCCGATTGTTGACTAGCACGAGAGCTGCAGCCACCATCACCGAACGCAGGAGCTTCCCAAGCCAGTGTGCGGCCGAAACCTTGACCTTGTAGTTGTTCTCCGAACAGATATAGGCACACGTCCCAGCGCCCCGCTTATGCAGCGCCAGTGTGTATGACATCTCTCGGGTGACAGTGCATTAAACCCCAGACTGGCCATGTCTTTTAGATCGTTATAAAGGGATCGTCAAGCATCGCTA